GATGATGTCTTTAAAGAAATTAATTGACCATATGAAACGTTTGTACCATTTTGAGCTTCAAATAAACTGCATACTCTACTGTATCGACTGCTTTTACTCGATCTTTATTTACAACATGACCACAAAGGACTGTTTAATACTAAACTCTATAATAAGTGTGACAATTTCAATTTTCCAAACCTGAATGTTCCCTTTCTTGATAGTAAAATCCCTGTTTCACTCAACTTTTTTTAATAATCAGAGTCGATTCGAAAAACATTAGCGACAGATGCATGTAAATGAAGAATATGTAGTAGTTGTATGGTCACCATCATTATCCCATTTGAAAATATTACACATGTATTTCTTTTGATATATGAAAGGCGACTTTTTCTTACGCATATTAATATTCCTTGGAATAAGAATTTATGTTATATATATGTTATTAGATGTGCTTTTACGATAATGTAGTTAGTATGCAAGAGGAATTAAATGTATATATGTCATGAGAATATGTGTGTTAAGAAAATCAGTATAATCTATAAGGTATGTCATGGTTGTATGCATATGTGTAAGGGAATGTGAAATAGAATGTATGCGTGTTAGGTAATGATTATATTATATCACGGTTTGTCAGGTTAGTATGCATATGTGTTATGTAATGGAAGTTAATCAGAGCGTTGAATGAATCTCCTCCTGCGAGTGGACAACCTATTGTACGGAGACCAGGGACCCACACCTGGCAATCATCCATATATGTGTGACATGTGCTAGGAAATAAATACTTACAAAACACAAAAAAATAGGCCTTTGGAAACTCTCTCAGTTCTCACATTATTTAAGGACTTCGTATCATTTGACTTTAACCTCGGTTTACATGGGGGGTGTCGTGGTTGAAACAACAACACTTACCCTTCCGGAACACATGGGCTTGATTTCCTCCTACATTTTTAATTAACGTCGTTGAATTCTTTTCCATTGTTCATATTGTGCTCGAGTTATACTGATTTTATTTTGGTTTTCAAAATAAAGTTTGTTTACACTTCGGTAAAATCTTTTCCTCTTACAACCTAACGATAATTTTAAAGACGATCAATCCTTAAATCCTATAGAGGTTGTGTATAACCTAAGACCTCATTGACATACTTATCTTTCTTGTTAACTTGAAGACGGTCGAAACTATAACTTGCTTTAATTTCACATTCCGCTACTAAGATATTATACTTTGAAGATTTTTTTATTTTGTTTTCAGCGATTTCATCAAGTAAGTGAACACAAAACATATAGATTAAGCATTTACACCATGCACATCTTTTTTAACGAATTTGTTTGATTTTTGCAAACAAAAGTTAATGTTTTGTACCAATGCTTTATCATATAACTTATTTTGACGATCAATACCGATTTGGTACGATCTTAGCACTTTACTGCATCATATGGCCATTTCGCTCATTAAAGATTCATCAGTAGAACTAAATGTCAACATAATGAAAAATACATGTCTAAAATGTTCGAAACAGTTATAGAATACAGAGAAAAGAGAACGGTGCACCCACATCCCTTACTACTGTTACATGTTTACAGAGAGCGAATGAAGCGAAGGATAGGATACGTGAATGTCCAAACCAGATGCCTGTATTACAGATATTTTTATACCCTCAGGACAGGAAAGGATTATTTTCAAAAAAACTATTACGTAGCTTAAAACTCCCCGCGACTGTTTACTTGTAAAGAGAAGCAATTGGGTGACGTATGACTATCACTTTAATGTTGGACGCTTTGTGTATGCATGAATCTTTATCAATACACATCAAAACATAGTTATCGTATACTTCAAAAATATATTCATTCAGTAATTATTTTTAAAAAACAAAAGTGTCGATAATTTGTAAAACATGTTTGGGTAACCAATTATTTATCATCGCTAAAACAGGAGAGAAATGTCAATTGAGTATGCGACATCCCCCTATGCTTCATAGCGATTCACTGTACAGCTTACTAATGTGAATCCAAATCCCACCGCATTTCTACATCACTTTCTACCCGAATTTCCTATAAAAGTGTTCTAAAAGGGGGATTTAATAATTTCGAAATGTTCACGGATTTTTGAACAAACATGAAGTAACAAAGACACGAAAATATAATAAACACTAACATTTAAATATGATCGCAGATTTTTTCAAATTAAATACGCGACATCCTTTCAAAATGTTCATTCCTCAAATTTCAATCGCAATTCACCTTTCTTCATCTTAGATATTTCGGCATCCATAGTAATAAGTAAATGACGCTTTGTTTTGTTCGAGTATTCTGGGGTTGATCCTCTTCGATACAGCCATTGACATAACAGTCAATGATATAAAACCAATATTCTTTTACAGGGAACCATAGAAATGTTTCATTTGGCTATATTTGGCCACAGTTTTATGTGTTTCGAAAGCGTAAGTTTTAGATTGCTTGAATTGACCTATTTGGTATTGTTAGTTTGCATGAGAGCCTCCAGTTCTAATTGTTTTGTAGGTTTATAAAAGGAATATATAAAATGTCAGTTTTACATTTCCCGAAATGATAGAAACGAAACGTTTACTGACCCTTCAAACGTAGTTTTTATACATAATAAAATGTATCTGCATCATGACTCCACAATCAACTTGATATGTGCACAGCATTGAACATACCATGGGTACTGTATTACCATATTAATATTTTCACTTTGTTGAAGAAAACATTATTTTATACATTTTATATGTTTTAGCTTTATTGTAGAAGATATAAAGTTATCTTACTTACGAGTGCTCTGGTATAAGTAAAATAACCAGGAATTTACAATTTTACTATAAAAATATCAGTGATTCTCGATTGAATAAAAATTTCATATTTTGAGAATGATATACCAATTCCATATCAATGCCTGCGTGATATAGACTTTTTGTTAATTACTAATTTTACTATATTAGCAACGCAATTACTTTTTTTAATTAAACGAATACTTCACGAAATTTAATGTCATGTTTTTCACTTAATGAATTTCTTTCAAAATGCGTATTAATACACAACTCCAGCATTTGGATCCGTTTGGCTGGAGCCAATAACAATAAATCCAGATTTAAATTTAAAAAGATGTATTTCAAAAATGTGAATGTCTAATTATATAGAAATATATTCTAACCCGTTAAATAAATTACAAAAATGCTGTACTTTTGGGATTGTTTTATATTCACCGAAAAACCATTAACAATCCTCTACTTACGTTGCTGTTTACTCACGTCCTGTGGATTTGGAATTGTTTTCATACCCGTATCACCATAGCGACTGTAATCATCTGTAGGTAATTTGATTTAGGATTGTTTCAACGTAGATAAATAACTAAATTATACCGTACAATCAAAACAAAACTCTCTTAACCACAGACCGGAACGCCGGTCGATCGCTTGATTGAGTTTGGTATATTTTCAAAGTATTTCAACATCATGAGGGTATGACCGTAACTTATGATAGGACCATTTTTGAAATAGTTGTCTCTGGAAAATCAGTTACTTTACCTTATAATGGATGGACAGAAGGAATACGGTCGTGAAAACACATATCTGGAAACGTCGTTTTCACATTTGACCAAGGTCTTGGGGAACTGTCAGAGGGAATCTCATACGGAGCAACAATAAATTTCGTTCTTGTTTGCTGGATCAAAGTGAGTGTTTAAATTAATACTTGTAACTTAGAAATGTGGAATGAGTTTTATTATATAATAATCCAATGTTAGTCGTTTTATCGTAAGATAGTTACAAATGTTTTTGTTTTGTTTTGTTTTTCGCTTTACTATATTTATGATTTGTACCATGCTACATCAATCGATTCAATGCTTTATAGGCATGAACAAAACAAAACAATATAAATAAGTAGTAAGCGTGATCTAAAAATATCAATTATGTCTTAAACAATGTGGATGCTTACAACAAAGCAAGTCATATTTTCTGAGTATTGCTTTAACGCGTTAATGCATCAACATTGTACTGTAAGTACCCCCCAAATGTGCCCCTAGGCTGCTGAAATAATTTGTGTCAAATATGATTGACTGCCATTGGCCCCTCAAATTCATTAAACCCCGGGAAGAGATCGTGACTGATTGAGGGTCTGCTTATCACATCCAGGACCCGGCAAGGTCCCTAATAGGGGACGGAACACTGATCCTATCTGACGAATGACTGGTTAGCTTCTTCAGGTAATCTATTTCTCACTTTTCCATTCATTAATAAAATAGTTGTTGAAAGTGTTGAAAGTACCGTCTTCGTCTGATTTTCCTTGTTGTGAGGACTTTTGACCCAAACAAATAAATATGTATATAACAATATAAGGATTACTGTGTTCATAAAACCACCGCTTTTATAAGACTTTTTTTGTTGTCTTAATTCCAGAATATATTAATAAGAATACGTGAATATTATCCTAAGGTGACACACATTATTACAAAACGTACTGGTTGTGCGTGGCAAGGTAGGTCGGCTTAGCAATTCAAGATGGAGTTGATCTACCATAATACCTTGTACATATAGCTTCGATAGACTACCACTAATATATCCTAATACCCGAGGTTATCCTTAAACACTTCACACTATAACTGATGACACCTCTGATACCCTTATATACCCAATATAGACTCTCATATCTCTGTGTTAACCCCAGTTCAATAAAGCCGACGATCTCAATCGAGAATTCCGGTTGATGAGATGTGAAATCGTGACAATTACATATTCTAATCAAATAACGTGACGAAGCACATTCTACGTCGTGGTTTACTACAGCTATGTTCATTTTGCTTTTGAATTTTCAGTCTGATTTCTATGTCATAACAACAAAAATAGAAATCTAAGATATATAAATCATGCATTCATGATACTTCATTATTTGGCAGAAGAATACTTAAGTAAGAGTTTTAGAGATCTTGAGACCATGTTCTAAGAGGTATTTATTCTAATACTCTTCTCCGGTGCTTTTGACAGGTCTAAAACAACTCAACTGCTTTGTTTTTTCTTTCATGACATATTTTAATAAAATTCATTTGATAAATCACTCATTTCAACTGAACAAATGACTAAATGCATCACGTGTAATACGCGTGTCAAAGTTATTCTGAAAACCCACACATCATTTGGTACACTTTAGGGATTGTTGGATAAAATGTCAAATATTGACCAATCATTTGTATGATTAACTAGATGCTGCCATCTGATCGGGTTCATATGTCATCCTCAAGAAAATCAACACAACCACTTTTGTCATCTACTGACCACATGTATAGAAAATTACACATATACACTGACCGAGGGTCAAGGTCTCTGATCAGAGGTCAAGGCAGCAAGCAAAGTGACCAGTTCAATTTGCTGCAAAGGTGAGTCGTAAACCCTGATAAAGTTTATGGAATGGTTGTCGTTTACAGCGAACTGTCCATCTCGTGCTTCCGACATCTGGTGAATGTCATCACAGAGGGCGCTGTATTCCTTCCGGTCGCCATCTTGCATCAACTGCTGGGAAACATGACAAGGGCGCCGTGCGTATCTGAATCTGAAATGAAACAGACGAAGTGTTGACTTTAATCCTCTGTTAAACAAAATGTACAATTCAATCGCACGTTCACTGCCGTTAATCTAACGTGAAAGTTCAGTCTGCAATAAAACTAGAGCGATGTTCATCAAAGACAACACCCCGTAGTGAAATGTACAAAGGAATCACAAACGCGTTCGCTTAAATGACTCAAACAGGAAGTTTGCAATAAATTATCGAAATAAATATTTTGTCGATTTTAGTCAGACAATATCAGAAATATGATCAATAAGGTAGCATGTACGTACAAAAATATACTTTTATCACATTTTTTTATTATATTAAAAAAAACTATTCAGCAGCTTGCATTATGCAACGTAAATTACTTGACTAGTTTTAGAAACCAATTAACATTGTAAAGCTTTGAAAACAATATAAAAGTGATACAAAATGATCCACAATGATGTTCAAGTGAAATGTTATGTAGCATTACACTACAGAACGTGTAAATAGCGTGTAAAGAGCGTGTAAATAGCATATAAAGAACGTGTAAAATACTGAATGCAATGTGTGACCAGGTCGTGATAAATATATTGTATTCGTATAACATTTCCATCATCCTTACAAACATATTAACCGAGGATTGGTAAAGAGATGAAAATACAAAAATTCAAAAAGAACGGCCGATTACATGAACATTCCTTGTTGTGCATAAGAAAAGGGACTATGGAGTAGAAAACCTAATCCCTTACGTAGACGATCGTCTTATGCTATTACTAGAGGTATTTAATTATCACAGTCAGACATGAAGTTTGTATAATTTGGTAAGAAACCTCATTCCACCTTCCATTTCAAAAGCTTATGAATCATCACAGAACCTCTTTAAAATCTCGAGAATTTTTCAGAGGCTCCATTGATGTCAAACTTATTTATTTCACTCTAAACACCTGTACCGCAGCTGATGCCTAGAGTATGGGCATCGTGCTCCCAACCCTCAGCTGTCCCGCGAATTATGTAGTGAATTGAGTCGGTACTTTCGTTTGGCCCGCAGGGAAGTCCTTTTAACGGTTAATATGTTATTTGTGTCGATTTAAAGAAAACTCTTTACAAAAATATCTCGGAGTACTTGGAGATACCGTCAGAGGACTGTTACGGAAGTTATTAATTAATGGGTTTACCGAATACTCAATCTAGTGTAGCTAAGAAGCTCAACATATCATATTAATGGCATTCCCGTAGACAAAAAGCGGAGATGTTCTTTCAAATGTCCATAAATTCCAACAACAAACAAATAGACGCGTTTGATGGGTGGAACAGCTGGGGGAGCGAATGAGGGTTGGGTCTGTTTGTAGGGACAAGATAGGGACCTGAGTAACTGGAGGCCTTTTGTTGTGTGCTGACGGTCTCGACATCAAACATGCAATGGCCTATGAATCGTTGACGCAAAATTGCCGATACTCTTGACCCCAGCACTCCCGGGGCACCCGATCGTATAGAAAAACTTATTGATATAAAGTGGCTTATTTTGATCTGAGTCTCCTGCCAAAGGTGTCATATATTGATGAGAATATCTTTATATATCTACACACACAGTGTGTCTACATCCAGAGAAACGTATACACGAGAACTCTCATAGACCAAGACCCCGGCCGGCTGTAATAATATCTAATCCTGAAAAAACTCGCCCAGAATGTCTCGATCAAACACGAAACTGCAGTTGTTTCTTCCACAGGTTTTTGCCCACTTGTACGGTGATAGGGTATATATAATGATTAATGCTGTGCTAGAACGACAGATGAGAGTGGCGACTCTTCACGACTCGGCAACAGTATCCATGCATTCGTAACTACTGTCGCTTACTCTCGTACAAAACGCGTGTATCACGTCAACAGATATTTAGATAAAACGCAAATTTGAAAAAAGACACATGTGTAAGGAGCATTAACATTTTCCCCCGCATTTCATTATACATTTGCTGCGGTTACCATTTTTTATTTATTATTATTATTTTGTTTGTTGCGTCATCGTAAGTAAACAGTTGCTGCCACAACATCGTCAGTAAAAACATGGTATACTTGTAGTTTCATGTTAGGAGGCAAACGTCTCAAGGATTGCTCCCATCCCAAACTGTACTGGTGACATGTAGACATTTTACGTGCTATCAGATAAGTAAGTTAACAGGGTAGAGGATCAAAAGTCGCCACTTTGTAAAACTTTCCCTCGCTTTATCTTGATTTGGTGTGTAGATTTCCACGGCTATTCTCCGCCATCACTGTACATTAACGCCAACATGAGGTCTTGTCCAGCCCACTCAGAGGGTCGAACTAACCTCCGCGCGCGGAACTCCTCCGACATCTCACAGCAATGATAGCAGTAACAAAGCCATACAACTATTCTAAATTCCAATCTTTTTAAGCTTTAGAATTTTTTTCCAAACAAATGTTATTTATACAATAACCCACACAACACTCCTCATTTTGTAATAACGAAAAGGAACTATTTATTACAAGTACACGTGCCCAGTTACACTGACCTCGGTCTCTAGAATATTATATAGATATTTAAATTTAGAAATTTAGAAAAAACTACTCTAATAATTTTGATCACTTGGATGTCTGATTTGAAGTTCTAAACTAGGGGGAGATAAGCTAGTAGTAAAATACAGTTGAGAAATTCTTCATAAAACCTTAGGGGCTGGTAGCCAGTCTTGTGTCCAGGCGCCGTTACTTTTATCATACGCTATGACGAATGGTCACTTTTTATATCAATTTGTGAATAAAAATACCAGTGCTTTTTATTTATATCATCTCAAGAGCATCATTTTGGGATCCGATCATGTATCTTTTCAAAATTTCAATGACAGTATTACCTATTTGCTACCTATATGGCATTGTCCTAATGAAGCTTCTTACCGAGTCCAGTAAATCAACAGGTCGTGAGGTTTATCTTTGTTTTAGCTTATGTTCAAATCTAACGCAGAAGAATAAAATGTAGTATTTGAGATTATTAAGGTGCTTATCAACCCCGCATGGGCGACAAGGAAGATGAAAAGAAAAGGTTTAAAGAATAAAAGAATGGTAAACAGCAAACACAATTTTGGGTTAAAAAATATGAAATATAAACTTTCTTTTAAAACAACTACAAAATAAGCCATACAACTTATTTTAATCACTCTTTTTTAAGAAGTATGTAAAGAATTAAGACGCACACGTTTAAAACGATACTTAACCATCTTAACCAATATCTCAGTGTTGTAAACATGCAAGATAACTATAAAGGTTCCCGATTAATAACATCATAACTGATATTGTGGAAAAATAAATTTAAATAGATATTATCACGGTATGATAAATATCTCCACGGTCAAAAAGAAAAAACTGCATACATTCGTAACTGATATATTAGCGATGTTGTAGTTAACAGCTGATGGGGGAAAACAGGTGCTACCTCTGACGTAACACAAACATATTTAATGGTCATGACAAATGCTCGGCTACATAAAACTCTTACGTGTGTCATTTCAAAGTGTTCCTTTCAGCGTTTTAGCTAAAATCTGTTCTTTCATCGTGCACACTACGTCACTTATCACGCCGAATACGTCACGATCCTGTTTTCTTGGTTAATTTCTTTCTTGATAAATCATTTAAGTCCATTATGATGGGTTTTTTTATGTTTGAATTTAGGAATGTATAAAAAGGTCTAGCTAAAGTGATAAATTGGTTAAGAGGATTGTTGTTAATAATTTTTAGTAAGTTTGTGTCGTTTGTACGACGTATTTTCAAATCATTAGTATCTTGTTTTGGTTAAGTTTATGTATGAAATATGCCTGGTTTCTTGTTTCATTGTTTCCATTAGCTAATTTTAAACATTTAGAACATTTAAATCTGTGATATTTTCAAAACTTATAAACTCTGAGAACAAAATATAATGTCCTGAGAATCAAAATGGTCGCTTTAAGATAATACTAGTTTTGCCTGCTTTTGTACATGCTTATTTTTTTCATAAAGATAATTATTTGAACGAACGTATCATTTAGACCAATACTGTTTGGTGTGACTGTTTTTGCACTAATATACAATTGTTGTTTAGACGATTCTAATCTTACGCTCTTTAGTATTTGGAAGTATTCATCGTCTGAAAAATTCTTACAGTTAAAATACGGCTATTTCTTTTGAATCACGAATAAGTTATTAAAACAGCTATCACATTTATATCTTGAAATTTCGAGTAAATTGTATACATTTAGAAATGAACCAAGTCATCACAAAAAGCTATTTGACCAACTATACGCAATACTTTGTCTATTATATATCTCAAACTTAATACACTTTGTAATGTTTGTACTAATCTCATTTTTAAGTATCAATGTATATGATGATAGTGATGTCATTGTCTTGCCTTATCAATTATTATCAGCCATACAGTAATGGAACGCGAGGTGATACCTTCACTGTGTTATCTGTATCAATACAATTTAAATTCGGTCACCGTAGATAATGTTGACTATGTGTAACCTTCTTGCATTGTTAGAACAGAGCCTTCCTCTTCAACAAAAACAAGTTCACGACTCCCCTAAAATATGCCCCGTTTCTTTGATTTTGAAAGGTAGTGACTACAACATAAATCAAGCCTAAAGAATCTTACTCTTCGCTGATTCACACGTCCACAGATCGGCCAGAAAGTATGGCCTTACCCCTCACCGGCTAACGCTCCAGCACACTGCCAGAAAACCACTAGATAAGGCATATTTACTGCAGAAACGACCAGTAAAACAAACCTAAAACAACGCGTAGTCAATTTTTTCTTTGTTCAGTAAATTTTCCGCCAAAGAAGATAGAAAATGAAAAAATACTCTAGGCCACCTACAAGGCAAACAAAGGAGTCGGTTGTGTGTGGTGAGGAAATATACTTTTACTTCACGATACCTGGCACTGTGTCGTAGTTTTGGTTGTTTGATTGAGCTCGTTCACAGCAACGTTACTATACAGATTATGTCATTAAGATCAGTTTTTTTAGTCAATGTAAAAGATAAGGTATTCTTTTGCTAGCATACGGATACGTGCTTATAGATTGCTTCCGTAACAGTTTAATCTTAAAAATCTTTTAGTTTTTGTGGCATCGGAATCTATTCATAACACTTATGAAAGGCAGTTTTATACAAAATGTAAAGATCACAAGTTCTTGCATATTCTAAAACTAACTCAACTGATCGTCCTTACTGATCGTTGTTATTAGTACATGTTGCTCTGATTGCATATGACTGTTTCACTGGGATGGCCTTTCCCTACATATTCGCCGATTCAATATGATATGCACTCATTTCAAAGAATAACATCCCACAATTACGCTGAGGGTTGAGTAATGTGACACAAAATTACATAATGGCATCGAATGGGTTCATTAGTAATCTATCACGTGGTAGGAGTGGCGGGTATCTGGGGCAGCGTATCGCGGGGGGGAATTTTGTCGCATTTACATAGCATTGTTAGCTTAATGTTATAAAAATGCATATTCCTAAGCATATTCTATCGACATTCGAGATTTCAAAAATGTATTCAAACATTTTCGAATCATTCTCACATAATATAGGAAAATATTTGTCGAAAAGTATGTTAAACCTGTAACTCAGTGTATGCCTAACTGTTGGAAAGTAATATACGAGATATGTGGAGTTAAGATGATAGAGCTTTAGTACAGGCCTAGACGATCGGTCCAAACATGACAGACGTCCAAATGTTTGGTAATACTTGTACTGGCGGGCGTACTGGGCATTTATTCCTGCCACTACAGTCTCGTGAAAATTGGTCTCCTCATCTACATCAATATCAGTCAATTAGTGAGGCAGGATTGTGATGGGTGATCAGGGTCGGAGGTATGTTCGACTAGCTGGGCGACTGTAGTACAAACAATCAAACGTTGGAACGAATATGATGTGAAATACAGAAAATAATTTTGGTGATTAAGCTCATGTCAGGGTATATTTGATTTGCATGGTCTGTCAGGACGGTTGGCCTTCAAAACCTGCAGCATTTAGTCCGACATTCGTCTACATATGTTAAGTACATGTCGGTTGTCCATGATTAGTGGTATGCTAGATAGTGAGTGCAGTAGATATGTCGATTGACTGTGATAGAGTCTCTAAATCTAGATCTATCTGTAATAAACTTCTATAGTGTTCCCATCAGCAGAATATTAACATTAGCACAATATCCACACCAGCATAGTGTCCGAACCATCACACAATGGCAAAAGCAGCACACTGTCCACAGAAGCAAAGTATCAAGTTCCGAGTCTTGAAGATCTTGAAAAAATATTTTGACCATATTTTCTGAATTACAAAATTGCAATGGAAAGTATCTAGAAGGAGGGTATGAAAAACACGATATATGTATTTTATTATCAGAGGAATCTCTAGTTTCCTGCGTAAGCCTTGGTGTGGAGGGGACATGATACAACTCTCTAGATAAAGAGATAAAACGGAGCAAGGACAAACTTCCTCGGATTTATTTTCTAATACGCCAAAAGTTAGGAAAGTTTAGAATGATATCTTGTTCTCATACATATAGTAAAGCATATGGATACGTTATTTACGCAGTTTCTGACCTAGTCTATAGCTAACAATTGAATTATAACGTTATTCGAAGATGATTAATACTGTTGTAAGCAATGTTCCGTCACGTGAGCACCCTGTACCCTCCGCACAGTCACTAACCGCTACGGTAATTAGTTAATGTAATGTAAGGAGTGTGTCCAAACAGGCTCGTCTCCATGAAGATATATCGTTAACAATGCTATGATTATACGCTAGTGATAGTTTTTTTATGTTGTACATCGACTCATTCACGTGCCCTGTTTTACACGTATCTCTGGTCCATACAAAGTTACCGTACGTGTACCGCGCGACAGAATAATTTTGGTATTTTACCGGTTAGACACTCAGCGTATAACTGTTACAGTGTGTGTGTAAGACAGACACCAAGTTATGTAGCACATATCACAAATTGAACATTCTCGCCTGTTTAAACAATGTAGATCATTTCAAGTTGTTCCGTTTCTTATATAAAACAGTTGAGTATCACGCGCGCAGTAAACTACAGATCGTCCGGGTGTAGCTACCGTTGTGTTACGTTATCTCGTATAAAGGTTGTGTTAAACTTGCTTTATTGCTCCGCTACAGATGTTGGTATCGATACTGAGGGGGTCCCGACGTCGTCAACAATGTTACAGATCCCTATCCGACGCATTCGTAAACGGAATACATTCCAAGTTCTGTGTGTTACGAACAGGAATCTTAGCATGCACGTACAAGGATATGCAATTTACCCGGTCTTTAAAGTCTAATTAAATTTCGGAGACATCAACATAAAAGAATGGTTTGCGCTCAACGTATTTGTTTCATGTGACTCTTAGCAGACGAAGAAGCATTGACTTGATGGTAATGATATACAACATCTGATATAGCGCCCTATCTAGCTAACATAAGACACTCCACAGCGCTTTACAGTACATAGATTTTCAATTCATACAATCAATACAATTAGCATAAACATTTTGCAGGAGCTGCTTTTATCAGGCGCTAACTACTAGTCCTATGTCACCTGACTAATATCTCCCTATGTGTATATGCCTGCGTGTGTGCTGGAGATGTAAAGTATTGTTAAAAGGGATGTCAGTCGTATGAGCTAAATGTGGAGAGAGGTCTATTTATGAGAATTGTCATTTGTTCATAAGACATTTCTCTACCAAACATAGTTTTCGGTGAAAAGGCGGTCATGGGTGATGCTGATGACCGACCATCAAGCTCCCACCCAAACTTCACAGAAGACGGTGGAGTAGTACCATAGGGGTAGGGTACAGGTCAAGCGAAACATTAGGACGGGGCGGGGGAAATATTTGAAAAAAATAATTAATTACCATAGAAAGTTTCCATGAAGTTCCGGTCAGTGTGTTGGCATGGACCAGGCTCCCTCCATCCGCCACGCGGAGAAAGCGTAACTAAGGCGGTCGTCGGAGACGTAGTTACACGACGCCGCCATTTTGTTTGAGTTGTCATTTGCGTCGTCTGTCCTCAGTACCTGATACAGAAAGTCTATGTAACGAGTGGCGAGTTTCAGAGTCTGAATCTTACTCAACTTGTCGGATGGTAACGTGGGAATAATCTTCCGCAGACTAGAAAATCCCTCATTTAGTGACTGTGTTCTCTGCCGTTCCCTCACGTTAGCCATCACTCGTTGATTTTGAATGTCAGCCACGTCATTTGGGGAAGTTTTAGTCGTTAAAGATCTCCTCGCCTTTTTGTTGCAGTGAATGTCTGTTGAACAGTCAGATCCGGGTGACAGCGACGCTGACGACAGTGACGAAGACGATATTGATTCTAAGTCGTGGTAAAGTTCGAACGGTTTGCTAACGTCAACACTCACATTGTTGTTGTCCTCTGACCGTTTCCTTTTGTTTTTCCGCGATTTTGAATAGTTTTCCTGGCACTCTTGTTTGATGGTTGCTATTACGTCACGCTCCTGATGGTCGGAGTAGTCCAGTGGAGGAGAGGGCTGCTCAGAGCACCGCATCCCCTGAAGCTGATGTTGAGCAAACATGCCGAGATCCGTAAGAACCATAGGGATGCGTGGTATATACCGACCCGAGGATGTGCTGCACTCAATATACTAATTGAACAAGTCTCTTCTCCTCGGCTAATGGAACTCCGGTTATTTAGGGTTATGAATATTTGTATGAAAATGAGCAATATACACGTGCGCGCGTGGTTCAATGGGGCTGTACGTATGTGCACTGGTCGGGGTGACGGCAGGGTATTTATAACAAACTCTTGGGAGAAAGGAGACTTATGTTTGTTTACGTTGATAGGGGCGCTTGTCCCCTCCCACTTTGCCACCGGGCACTAAACCTGGGGTAGAGTCACTTGGCTCCATTAGCTGTGAAACCGACTCTCGCGCTGTCAATCAAATCTTCTCGCGGACCCCGCGTGCTCTTGCCAGATCAAATTTCACTGCGACTCGGCAATATTTTTCAGCGTCCGAATAAATAAGACGCAGTGATAGACAAGGAGAGGTGGCTGAAATCTATTCGTCAGGCATGTCATGATCAGGTCGGTCAGAAAAATTAAAATCTTACCTGACAGAGTTGTGTGACGTGTAGCGTTAAATTTGTCTCTTATCACACGCTAAATTGAATCAACCAAACCATTTGAAAGTTCGGGTGCTGACGGAGGCAGAGCCATCTAATAATCACGCGTGTATATGGGGACGTGACTTGCCCGTCCATCGCGTTATCGGTAGATTTCGCTCAATGCACGTGGGTTTATACCGTAGTCCGTCGTCCGTGTTTAATCTCTGTCAAATCACCAGCTACAGTTGTGTCGTCGTTAGACATCGGAAGCATTTATCAAGTAAATAAAACAAATTTCAGATCGAGATAAAATCTTAAGTTGAGATAATAAAAAATTCTGTTCACAAGCATATATAAAGTTCTCCGCTTTTAACATCCATTAATACTGTAAGCATAAGTTTAAAAGGCAAAAACGAAATATGTTAAGTATCCCAGATGTGAAAACATTGCGTGGGTTCAGGAAAGTTACTTTCGTTTTACTATAATGTATTTACAAAAAGTGGATGGAAATGTCCGTGACCTACATTCTTATATACATGTACGTATACGATGTGGACATATCTCATTAATTCCAAATTCCGATTAGTTATGGAGTAATTGATTGTTTTTTAATGCTCTTTCCGAGAATGTGTATATATATTATTTGTTTGAAGATAAATTTGAAAAGTATTTTAATGACGATTTGATGTATTAATTGATAGATAGATGCAATTATTCATTTATTCATATTCCTACATTACAGGCTCCCATCAACTGTATTATAGACGACGGACAGACATATAAGTTACATTGGAACATCCCTGTATGCTTTGTTAGATTTGTAGTATAAGTAATTTGATATATTTGTTCCCTTTCATTTTGATGCAACATATATTTGGTGATGAAAAACACCGTAAAAGATTAAGAATTTTCTTTTTCCTTCTTTTGCATGGTCAAGAAGAAACGTTTTGAAACTTTAGTTTTCAAATAAGGTTGTCCAGTTCATGAAGCCATGAACTATATTGTATTATATCAGAATGTGTGTTCATGCCGATAATGATGTCAGAATGTAACTCGCGTTATAATAGAATACAATACAAATCTGACTGGAGATAATGCAACTTATAATCAGCACAGAATATGTTCAGGTGGCCGTATGGCGGGCGAGGTATCGTGCCGGTATAGACTGTTGTTAAGGGATATGGGAGGTGAGAAAACAAATACCCCCTAGCGGCCGGTGGGTGTGTCGATTGATCAGCTGATCGCGTTATCTCGGATATATCTTCCAATATAATTAACACTTCCCTGTTAATCCCCTCATCGACTCACTCCCCGACCCCCCTCCCCGACCCCCGCCAGGGAACGGAACGTCGTTAAACCAGGTGTAATATACAAACATCCACGTGCCAAGATGGCGTCTGTCACACCGCCAATTTTGTATCGCGCCGAAATGGGTTGTAAATAAACCAAGTATTGACACAAATAAAAACACAATACGGTTAATCCTTCTCAACACCTACAACACAATTTGACAGTGCAAACTCGTTATGTGGCACTTCCCAAAGTCGTGTAATTGCAATCTGTGAGTTAAACAATACATTTGACGTTTGAAGTACACTGTAGAGACTGTAGAAACGTTTGATATACATTTCCTGTTGAACGCGGTTAGATTAGATATACAAGTAGAATCTATAAGACGCGGTTGTATTTGATATCCTGTAAGACACAGTTATTTTATATTTTATTCATGTCGTCATAATGAAAAATATCAGGGTGTATTTATCAGCTGCACACAAAATAGTTAAAATACGCCGGAAACTAACACTTAAACCTGGTTTATTTTCGATATACACAGCTGATGACAATAAAATATGAATGTGTGTCCATGGCGTCTCATTTTAAAGCTTTGGTAAACAACGGTGGTCTATTCTTTTTATTTTCCCGGTGTAATTATACATGCTTTGATGTAGTATATCATATATAACTGTCATTCTTGTTCCTATTCAAATTTTATAAAACTCACTAAATACTTTTTCGAACATGTATAATTTGTCAATAAGGGTAACTTTTGTTTGTATGGTTCTAAATCTACCTCCTGTTCATCTTCGTTATCAAGTATGAAATGTGAGAGAAATCAATATTTCTCTAAAATATCTTCTTTTATTCGACGTATAGCTTAAATGGTTCTGTTTTAATGCTGTTATACTCAGTAGAAGTGTTATTCGGTGTAGACGATGTTTACAAGTTTCTTAGAGGACCGAGTAAGACTATGTCGGCGTACAGTGGGAGAGGAGAGGCCTTGACTAAACATAATACTCTAAACCAAACACAAGATCTCTACGAGTAAAAATACAGAACCCTGGCGATAGGTTTGCCAGGCGGCAAAAAGGGACACTTTACAACATGAAGTTTGACTTTAACACCACCCGGTCATAGCGCTCACTTCCGCCGTGGGCTCCCGCGATCCACTTTCCCACGCTCATTTCCACGTGCTTTCTCATTCAGAAAATCTCGAAAAGTCATTTGGATAGTCGAAATGGAAGTTACAGAGTCCAAAACACGCTGTTTTGAACTTCTATAGACCTGTGTGATGTACTTGGTCCTGTACATGAAATTTACTTATAATTTCGAGAAAGCAAATCAAACGATTTTAGTAATATATGTTGACAGATAATGTTTTATCGACTATGTATCTGAACACGCGAGGATATCGTTTTACGTTTGCACAATTTGTCTGAGTTGGAGCTTTTGTTTACATTATGTAAACAATGTGCCAGAATGTATATGTTTATCATGTGGACCAACATGTAACTCGATTTTTTTCTGAACTTAAATTAAGTAAAAAATATGTTGATGTCCATTTACAATAGCTTTTAAAGGACTTACACGTAAAAATAAAAATTTATTCTGAATTTAGAGTAAATTCAAATATTTTTATTTCCATTTACAAACTCGATGTATCCATATAACTAAGCATTATAATTTAGTCAATTCATAAACCTATTCAGTAAACGACTAACAACTCAATTGACACGTAACACCGAGGACCTGACAACGGCAATGCCCCTGTGACGTCACCGTGAGGTAACTGAAGTCAATCTCCTGTGACGTGATCGATTTCACATCTCACGTGTCATAATTTACACCTCTATTCTTGATAGCATGTACGGATAGTGCCAGTCCGGTACCGGCTCGGTAGCTTATAATTAGTAATCACCTATATGCTGTATCTTATCGGTTGCTCTCGCTTGAGCTGTTGTTACGTGATCGCCATTGATAAACATCAGTAACATAATGGCCGGTAATTACACGCTGCACTTTCAGTAGTCAGTGTCATACTTGTGTTACGTTTGTCACAACACGTTCAGTAGTCAGTGTCATACTTGTGTAACGTTTGTCACATCACGTTCAGTTGTCACATCACGTTCAGTAGTCAGTGCTATACTTGTGGTACGTTTGTCACATCACGTTCAGTAGTGTTACGTTTGTCACAGCACATTCAGTAGTCAGGGCTAAACTTGTGTAACGTTTGTCACATCTCGTTCAGTTATCACATCACGTTCAGTATTCAGTGCTATACTTGTGTAACGTTTGTCACATCACGTCCAGTAGTCAGTGTCATACTTGTGTTAAGTTTGTCACATCACGCCCAGTAGTCAGCGTCATACTTGCGTTACGGTTGTCACATCACGCCCAGTAGTCTGTGTCATACTTGTGTTACGTTTGACACATCACGTTCAGTAGTCAGTGCTGTACTTGTGGTTCGTTTGTCACATCACGTTCAGTTATCCCATCACGTTCAGTAGTCAGTGCTGTACTTGTGGTTCGTTTGTCACATCACGTTCAGTTATCACATCACGCCCAGTAGTCAGTGTCATACCTGTGTTACGTTTGTCACATCACGTCCAGTAGTCAGTGCCATACTTGTGTTACGTTTGTCACATCACGTTCAGTAGTCAGTGTCATACTTGTGTTACGTTTGTCACAGCACATTCAGTAGTCAGTGCTAAACTTGTGTAACGTTTGTCACATCACGTTCAGTTATCACATCACGTTCAGTAGTCAGTGCTATACTTGTGGTACGTTTGTCACATCACGTTCAGTTATCACATCACGTTCAGTAGTCAGTGCTATACTTGTGGTACGTTTGTCACATCACGTTCAGTTATCACATCACGTTCAGTAGTCAGTGCTATACTTGTGTAACGTTTGTCACATCACGTTCAGTTATCACATCACGTTTAGGCGTCAGTGCTATACTTGTGTTACGTTTGTCAAATCACGTTCAGTAGTCAGTGTCTTACTTTTGTTACGTTTGTCACATCACGTTCAGTAGTCATTGCTATACTTGTGTTACTTTTGTCACAGCACGTCCAGTAGTCAGTGGCATACTTGTGTTACGTTAGTCACATCACGTCCAGTAGTCAGTTCTATGTAGTCAGTGTCATACTTGTGTTGCGTTTGTCACATCACGTCCAGGAGTCAGTGTCATACTTGTGTCACGTTTGTCACATCACGGTCAGTAGTCAGTGCTATTCTTGTTTTACGTTTGTCACATGACGTTCAGTAGTCAGTGCAATACTTGTGTTACGTTTGTAACATCGCGGTCAGTAGTCAGTGTCATACTTGTGTCACGTTTGTCACATCACGATCAGTAGTCAGTGCTATACCTGTGTAACGTTTGTCACATCAAGTTCAGTAGTCAGTGCTATTCTTGTGTAACGTTTGTCACATCACGATCAGTAGTCAGTGCTATTCTTGTTTTACGTT